CCGAGAGCTGGGGCCGGCACGGCCTCAGCGTGGGCCTGGGCGGTCCCGGCGCCAGGCTGTTCGGGTGGCTGAGAGAGCGCAGCCTGGGCCGCGGGCTGTTCGTGGACCCGGCGCGGGACAATTTCCGCACCATGACTAGCCTCTATGGTTCCATCCACCCCGCGGACTCGGTGTACCTCAGCACCCGCACCCACGGTGCCGTCTTCAACCTCGAGTACTCGCCCGACGGGTAAGCGCGGCCCCTCGGAGGGCGGGTACCCGCCTCCGCCCGGCTCTGCTGCCGGCGGACGGCCGCCCAGGGCTCGCTCGCTCGCTCGGCTCGGGCCGAGGTGTGCGAGGCTGTTTGGGGCGCTGGCCTTCAGGCCTCCTGGCACTTTCCGAAGCGCTTGCTGCCTAGGGGAGCCCCGGTCCCAGCCCTTTGGGGTAGGCAGGCCGGCCCTCCTTTGCTCACCTTCAGGACTCGGAGGCTCCGGGAAGGAGAAATGCCAAAGCCCCGCAGCGGGTCTCTCAGAGCCAGCTCAGAACTGAGGCTTTCTGTACACAGTAGGTGCTCGGTAAATACATTTGGAATAAATGCCCACTCCTCCCCATCACCCTAGAATTGCGTTTTTTCTCGCCTAAACTTCTGTCAAGGGTGGGGAGCCTGTGGATTCCCTGTGCCTGAACTTACTGTGAGGGAACAAGTGCTTCCTTTGCTCGAGGAAGATACAATACTAAGACACTGCAGAGAGTTGTCTCTCATGATTTGGGCCATTTGTGAAATGCCCAAACTAGACTACATGCTTCTATTAAGAGTATCCGACTCTGCCAGGCGCGCTGGCTCACGCCTATAATCCCAGCACTTTGGGAGACCGAGGTGAGAGGATTGCCTGAGCTCACAGGTTGGAGACCAGCCTGGGCAACTTGGTGAGACCTCATCTCTACAATAAATCAAAAATTTAGCTGAGTGTGGTGGTGCACACCTGTAGTTCCAACTACTTAGAAGGCTGAGGCCGAAGGATCGTCTGAACCCAGCAGGTCGAGGCTGCGGTGGCAGGGAGCGAGCTACTGCACTCCAGCCTGGGCGACAGAGTGAGACTCCAACTCAAAAAAAAAAAAAGTATCCATCTTTTTTTTTGACTCATTAACTACTTCATGTTTAGCCTTGGTTTATTTTCGGCTGTGGGGAGTTTTTAAAATAATGTATATATATTTAAAACCTTGTCTTGCAAATACATGTCAGCAATGAAAAGAAAAAATTTCCACACAGTTTCACCATGAGATGACGCAGTTAGTAAAGTTCTTATCCCATCAAGGCCTCTGGGTTGCTAGTTGTTTACTTAGTTGTTCATTCATTCATTCTCTCACTCAGCAAATATTTTTGTTAAGCACTTGCTATTTTCCAAATGCAGGAGTACCAATGCTGAGCAAAACCAGCTAATGGCACTGTTTTCATTAAGCTTGGGACTTAATGGTTCAACTAGATATTAGATAACCACACTAAATAATGCATAATGTGTATTTACAAATTGATGTAGTCTTGAAGGAACCTGTTATGGACTGGAGTGTTCAAGGTTTCTCCGAGGAAATGACACTTGAACTAAGATCAGAAAAATGAGTAGGAAATATATTAGTCAAGATAAGACGGGATAAATGTATTTCATTCAGAGACTGGTATGTCAGAGGACCTATGGTCCTGCCTATGGTAGGTAGAGGGTTATGTTAGAGATGGTGAAAAACAAAAGGTTTATGAAGCAAAATATTTTTCTAAAGAAACACCTAACACATGCTAAGGAAGTAGCAAAGGAACAGAATCAGGAATTACTGTAAGCAGGTAGGCCTTATTTATTTCAATACTAATACAAATGCTGCTTCCTAATTAAAACCTGGTACTGGGATCGCTGGGATTTCTGCTCAAAGCAGTTGGGAGGAGCTTGTAAGGGGGGAAATTGGTGAGAGGAAAAACTATGTTGATGAAGCTTATTCATGGAAACTCCAGTCTTTTCCATTCAAGCCCTACTCCTAAAGTTCCTCTCAAAACACCAAATTTTTGTTATAAATATTCAGTTTCTCTCTTCTCCATATCCTTCCTGGCCCCTCCCAACCTCCTACTTACAATTGCAGGAATTAAAAAGTGACTATTTCTACTCTTTGGATGTGGGATTTTAGGTAAAGATTGGGAGGGGTAGAATGAGTTATGAAGAAGGAATTCCAGAACTATAAGAATGAGGCATATATTATTTATAGTTCTTGTTTTAGTCTATGCTGCATTTTCCCATAAAAACATTTTTGTAAAAGGTGATTAGGTACTCTTGTACTCAAAACAATTCAATAATTTTTAATTATGCAATTAGTATATGCTCATTGTGGAGAAGACAGGCAATAAGTGAGCAAAAAGAAGCTAAAATCACTTATGATCCCAGAAACTAAATAGATATCCAAGGAAATTTTTCCTTTGTGTATAATTATTTTAATATAAGCATGGAATCATACTGTTTTGTAGCCTACTTTTTTCTTACAGTATATTGTGAACTGCTTTATATTAATAAATATATTTCTACACCATTATTTAAATTTTTTCATTAGATTAAATAAAATCTGTATGAACAAATATTTTGTATTTATATCTTTAGGATAAATTCCTAGAATGGGTCAAAAGGTTATGGAGATTTTTGATACCTATTGTTAAATTGGCCTCTGAAAATCATACAGATTCTCATTCCTATGTTCCATAAACATGTGAAAGTGCCTGTCTCCCCATACTTTTGGTAATGCTGCTTTTTGCCATTCTTCATCTTTGTCAAAGTGGTGATTGAAAATAGTTCAATGTTTTAGTTTTTTAGTATTCTGACTTCATCTAGTTTGTCCAACATTTGTGTACGACTTAAGGTAATTTCAGATAGATGATATATCTATGTTAAATGAGATAATTTTTTATATCCTTCAGTTATATATTAACTAAATTGGCATACCAGGTAGTATAACCTTACAAAGACTTCTTAATACAGAACAGGGGTGGGGGGGTGATATAGATTGCAAGAATTTAAATTATAAATTGATCAGAGACCAGACTAGAATGAATTTAGCACTAAAAAAGAAATGACAGGATATATAGACTAGAAGGTAATTTCCAAAGAATTCCAAAAATGTATTAAATGATAGCAACATTGTCAAAATAAATATAATTACATCCTAAGCTGATGTGTAGAAAAAGTAAATTTGACTATGTTAATAGATTAGATAATAGTATTTAGATCTTCTCAAGCTATCCTTTATGAGAACACATTAGGTGCAGCTATAGAGAGAATTAATATATTGGAGAGAATTAGTATATTGGAAAATGGAGGTGAAAAATGTATCCAAAGCCGGGCTCAGTGGCTCAGCCTGTAATCCCGCACCTTTGGGAGGCTGAGGTGAGTGAATTGCCTGAGCCCGCGGGTTCGAGACCCACCTGGGCAGCGAAACCTCATCTCTACATTAAATCAAAAAATCAGCCGGGTGTGGTAGCGCATGCCTGTAATTCCAACTACTCGGAAGGCTGAGGAGGAAGGATCGCCGGAGCCCAGCAGGTCGAGGCTGTGGTGACTGGAGTCTCACTCTGTCACCAGTCTCCTGGGTGACAGAGTGAGACTCCAACTCAAAAAAGAAAAAAAAAAAGAAAAGAAAAATGTATCCAGAATGCAGACCCAAGAAACTCAGAGATTGAAAATATGAAGGATTCTAGTGATATAAAAAAATGAAAAAAAAAATGAAGGAGGTTTAGTAACATGGAATATAGAGAGAAAAATCATACCATATATTTAGTCAGAATTCCTGAAGAAAATGAGATATATAATAGGAATGGAGGAGCTATTTGAAGACATAATAGCTGAGAACTTAACAGAATTGAAGGCACCAAGCCGTGATTTAAGTAACCCAATAAATCTAAGCAGGTATCATCCCTAGATGTATTATAGTGAAACTGTGAGACATTAAATAGGGGGGGAAATAAAAAGACCCCAAAGGAGTAACTATGAGAATGATAGCCAATTAGTCATCAATAATAGTGTAAATCAAGAGACAGCGGTAATTATTTTCAATATGCTGGAAAAACTTCAGTCTATATTTATAGCCAACAAAGATGAGTTCTTTGTTGTTGGCAAGAATAAAGATGAAATAAATACATACTCAGGTAAGCAACACTAAGTAAGTTTGCCAGCAGACCTTCAGTAAAGGAATTCTAAGTTCAGAGAAAAGGAAATTGTCAAATGGAAGGTCTGAGATGCTAAAAGGAATGAAAAGCAAAGAGTCTGGCAAATATAAATATGTACGTAGAACTAAATCTGATAATGTATTTGGGGATTAAAAAAGATGGAACTACAACAGAAGGCAACAATGACATATGAATTATGAGGGATGTTTGAAGTTCCTTTTGCTTGTTTGTTTTGAGTTGAGGTCTCATTCTGTTGCCCAGGCTGGAGTGCAGTGGCATGATCATGGCTCACTGTAGCCTAAACCTCCTGGGCTTGGGATCCTTCTGCCTCAGCTTCCTGAGTTGCTGTTACTACAGATGCACACCATCATATCCAGGTGATTTTTTTTTTTCTTTTTTGTAGAGATGAGGTCTTTCTGTGTTGCCAGGCTGGTCTTGAACTCCTGGCCTCAAGCAATCCTCCCACCTCAGTCTCACAAGGTACTGGGATTACAGGCTTGAACTACCGTGCTCAGCCCTGAAGGTTCCTATATGTTTTGAAGGAAAATTACATATATAGTGTGATATATTAACTTTAGGCTTTAATAAATATGTATTTTAAAATTTTTAAGGAGCCAAAGGATAGGAATGAGTATATAATTTCCAGACTAGTAGAGGAAAAAATATGGAATGACAAAAATAACCTTCAAAAGAAGTCAAGAAAGGGGGAAAAAATAGACAAGGTTTAATAAGTAAAAAAATTGAACTAAAAAATTGCAAGTTTGAATGGGTATTTGCCTAGGAATTTAAATGAGTCTGAACTTGAATGAGTCTTTTAGATTTAAAATATAAACATCAAAATTTGTGAATTTCAAGGAGAAATCAGGCAAATTTATCATCATATGGAAAGATTTCTTTTTTTTTTTTTTTTTTGAGTTGAGATCATGGTCTGTCCCCCCAGGCTGGAGTGCAGTGGCACTATCATGGCTTAACACAACTTTGACCTTCTGGGGTTAGGTGAGCCTTTCATATCAACCTCCCAAGTAACTGAGACTTCAGGCATATACCATAATGCCTGG